TGATACCAAAATTTAAAAAGCAAAGTTAAATCAGTTTTAAATATGTGTTAATAAATATACTGTCTATGATATAATAGAGGCAGTCTCAACTCTGGAATTTAATTTGCGTAATCTTAAATAATTACAAAGTTTTTATGCTGCTTTATTTTAACACACATGGGGATATTTTCAAAGACACAACTGGTGGTTAGGCATCTAACTCCCATTCACTTTCAATGGGAGTTAGAGGCTTTCCATATATATCTTTAAAAACCTCCCCCATTGTAGATATAATTCTGTAGTGTGAAGATGAAGATTACAGCAGCGTGAGTCACGCTGTATGATTAACCTCTCTGTGTGTGGGAATCACCTGCTGCCTTTTTTGGCCACATTATGAAATGTTTTAATTAAAAGATCATTTTAGCAATAAACTGTGAAGATGCAGCTGAGGTGCATGCCAGGGTATGCTTCAATCTAAATGTTTGCAGGATTATCTGAAGCATTCCAAACTACAGATCTGGTATACATGGTATTAACTACACTGGTTGAATTTTTTTTAAATAAAGTCTGAACACAATTATTGTGCATTCTAGGTCTGTGCTTCCTACATACAAATAAGGCCAAATTTGGATTATGCCTCTAAGCATTCTGGAAACAAGTATCAGGAATGGTTTATATCTTGATTTACAGATTTGAATAATATGTAAATATGATCTGAATCCAGACATGGAAGGTAATGTCTGAGAGGGGAGTGATTCTAGACAAAGCCAGGACCTCCCAGGCACTGAGCAGTGCAGAGCAAAGTGCACAGCAAATGCTGGTCACCATGCAGAGCAGCCTATAGGAGGGGATCTAGCAGATGTCGGTCTCCATACCTCTGCACACTGCAGAGGTTTCAACAGTAACTTGTGGAGACAATGGCAATTTAACTATTGTTACATTTCACTGCGTAAAATTATAAATCTTGTTGTTTGTCTTAAAGCAAAGGTCCTAAATATTCTGAGGAATTCTGAGTGTAAATGAGTGGGGGGGGATCTATTTAGAAAGGTTATGTTTCTGCATATTATAAGTGGATTTTCTTCTTTGAATTGCCTCTGCATAGTCCCACTTTTGGGGTGCACTGGCTGCTGCTTAGACTAGTGGAATCTGCTTGGTAGCAGCGTCCATTGGAGTACTTTTGCGCCCCCTGCCCCTCCCCTCCAGACTCTGAATGTTCAGGGGTGGGGCTATACAGTGGAGGTATGGCATGACTTGCTAACCCCCTATTTACCTTTCATTGCCTCCCCGAGTCTATAATTGAAATTAGGGCTCAGGGGAAGGTGGGTGTAATGTGTGTGCAGAGGTCATTTTGAAGAACCCCAATTACAGGAGAGTAAACTTAATTTCTTGAATTAATTAAATCAGACATTGCATTCCTTTTTCTCCTACCTGTAGTAGCTCAGCAGTGAGCTACTTACATTTAGTCCCATCAGTTTGCTATTTACAGTCTGCTAAGGTTTGTGTAAAAGCGAAACATAAATCTTATTGACTGGCTGGATTCAGTTTTATTCTGTGTGTTGTGTGCTCTTTGAAAAGGCAGTGTTTATTTTTTAATCTTCTGCCTTTCAACTGTATTATTCTAAATCTAATCATACACCAGGCTTAGACTATTCCATGGTTGCAAAAATATGATCTAAAATGTTAGAGGTACAAAGCACATAAAGTTTAGGATTTTTTTGCTGAGTGTCAGGCAGGGGAATCAGAGAGATGAGTTAAATCTTTTACAATTCTGATTTTTAAAGATTTTTTGGCAAGAATGGAAAAAAAAATCTCTATTATAACATCTTTTCTATTAATAGAAATGACATAATAGACAAGGAACAGCATTTTATGTTTTATTGTACCAATTTATTAAAGCCATATATTTACACTGTATTGTGGATATTCACATTTCTGTATTCATTGCTTGCACTGATGTGAAGCAACAAAACAAAAACAATGGCCGACAGATTCTTGGTGTTTGAGGATTGGTTGCCCTCTCTCCACCCTTGGCCAAGAATGCTCTCCACAGAAGTGCAGAAAGAGCCCCTTGGAGAGGGGGCTTAAAGCTGCATTATGCTCTTTGAAAAGGAGTACTTGAGGCACCTTAGAGACTAACAAATTTATTTGAGCATAAGCTTTCATGAGCAAAGTGAGCTGTAGCTCACGAAAGCTTATGCTCAAATAAATTGGTTAGTCTCTAAGATGCCACAAGTCCTCCTTTTCTTTTTGCGAATACAGGCTAACACGGCTGCTACTCTGAAGCCTGTCATTGTGCGCTTTGCATCAGTTAAGGTGCATTCCACGCCTTTCACTCCAGCAGCAAGATTTGCAGTATAGATCATGTATTTTCAAGGTCAGCAGGGCTTGTTTGAAAGGAGGATCTCTCTGAGATCATTAGGGTAATAGACAGTAAATGGGAAAATTGTCAAGGCAGGTTAATTGTAAAGCCTAATGATTTTGATGTTAGCCCTTTAGAATGAGGAAAAACACCCTTGGCCCTATGTCTGCGCTAAAGTGCTTTAATTTTTTCCCCTGGAGAGCTGAATTGAGCATCTTGTGCATTTAAAAGCAACCTGTGATAAATTATTCCCTTTGTGAAAAAAATCGGCTTTCAGAATCCTGCTATAACATTGGACTGCAGCAAGGGAGTTATACAGTAAATCTGCAGAAAATGGTTCATGCTGCTCCTTCCCCCATAAGCCTTTATGAAATATTGCCGACAAGCAAACATTTAAATGCTCAGAATTAAATGAATGAGCAAACATTCCTTGGCATCTATCTGAATGGAGGAGGGGTAGTTTGTTTTTAAAAAATTAGAAAGTATGCATCAAGCCCTTCTGCAATGGCTTCTCTACATAGAGGCCAGCAATTGATCCTGTAGCACAGGTGGGAGTGTTCTGAACCAGCACTGAGAAGACCTAGGTTAAAACCCTGTTGCTGATGACCTAGGTAGGGGGACGTCATGTTTTATGTAGTTTTCACAGTAAGAAGATATCTTTAAAACTGGTTTTGTACTTTAAAAACTATGACAATCTGTAAATCATAGTATGAATCACCAGATAACTGGTATTGAATGAAATATCAATGTGTCACTTGTTTTGCTTTGCTGATGTTACATATTGGTAGGTTTGAAGGTGAAGAGGTGGGTTTCACACAGGCAGGGACAGGGGATCCAGAGGAAAGGAGAGCATGGTAAACAGACCTGCTGCTGCTCCTTGCTGTCTCCATTTTCAGAAGCCCCTGAGAAGCTGTTGTGTGTTTCAGGAAATGAGTGACTACACAGAGTCCTTCTTGGAGGTTATCTCCAGCTGACAGGTTTTGTGGTTAATGCAAAATATGGTGGTTTGCTTTTTGACTACTTACTTTCAGTAACCTTTACATGGAGATGAAACGTTGTAGACATAAAAAACTTAATGAAGTTGCAGCCTCTCATTCTCTTTAGTAAAGTCGACACAGTCAGGAGTGGCTTCAGCTGCACTGTTTCTCCCTCTGATTGTCAGGCAGGTGCACTTCCACTTCTCCCTGTCTCCCCCTCCCTGACCGTGGGTACCTGTGCTGAGGAACACCAACCCTGGATAAAAACTAGGAAATTAACACAAGCACATACTAGGTTTCATGACAGAGAAGATCGCATCACAACCAACCTTGTCTGCTTAAATAAGAAGTTAAGGGAAATGTCTCCGGCATTCCTTGCCGCTTTATATTGCATCCAACAGTGTTGGTGACATGCTCCACTATTCCATAAGACTTTCACTTCCATCTCCAAGACAGTGAAAAAGTAATATGTATCCCAACTTCATCAAACCTGTCCTCTCAAATAAAACCTTCACAGCAACCTTGGCAATGTTAGAGCGGATTAATTTCCCAAATTCAGGGCATGTGTGACAGTCAGATGTGCTATCTGTTGATTGATACAAGGGGGTAGAAGGTTTACTCTTTTCTGTTAATGTAAGACACGAGGATTTATGCCTCTTACTTCATGGATTATTTGATACTAAAATAGCAACTTTCTTAGACATAAAAACATTAGTTTGTGGTTACTTGGTTATAATTTTTCTCCAAAAATTGTTGTAAAGATTGCCTAGGTGTAGAGGAGGATGGATCCAAAAAACAGTACTAGTTAAAAATGCTTCTTCTGCAGTAAGATGTGCCACCTGCAAAATGCAGAGTGTTGAGGTAGAATGGCTTTGTTGGCCTTCACTAGCAATGAATTGCTTTACTCACTTTTGGCTTCACCAGTAAGAAGTATTACAGCCATTCCAAATGCCTGCTGATAACACCTTTCATAGAATATCAGGGTTGGAAGGGACCTCAGGAGGTCATCTAGTCCAACCCCCTGCTCAAAGCAGGACCAAGCCCCAATTTTTGCCCCAGATCCCAAATGGCCCCCTCAAGGATTGAACTCACAACCCTGGGTTTAACAGGCCAATGCTCAAACCACTGAGCTGTTGCTCCTCCCGTTTATACTAGAGCCGATCAAAACATTTTCACAGGGGAAAATGCAGTTAGTTGAATTAACATTTTCTGCATGAAAAGACAGATTTCAGCAGAATTTTCCTTCATGAAGAACAAAACGTTTTGGTTTGGTTTGGCCATTTGAAATGGCTCAAACTATTTAGTTTAGCTCAGTTAAAACCCCCTTTTGCTATCAGTGCGAACAAAGTATAACAGCTTTAAGATAGTTTTGTTTTGGTTGCATTGTACAAGAGGACAAGCTCAGATTATCTGGCTATGTCCACATGGTGGTTAAGGGGGTTTTCAATGGAGTTCAGTGGAGCTGAGCTAACAGTTGAAAAACACACCTTTTTGCTCTTGTTGACACGGCCTTTATTTGTAATAAGTCTCTGAGATATAAATGCAAGCCCAATGGTCATATAAACTCTCTTTTTTCTGTGTGAGCACTCTAGCCTTCGAATTCATTATAAGTGATGTCATAACCATAGTTGTATTGCCATCTAGCCCTAAATTGTATGTTCTTTCCCTGTGTTTCTTCTTTACAGTACGCTTTGCACCTTATAGACCTCCAGACATCTCCCTGAAACCACTGCTCTTTGAGGTGCCAAGCATCACCACAGAGTCTGTGTTTGTCGGACGGGACTGGGTGTTCCATGAGATAGATGCACAGTTGCAGAGTGCCAATGCCAGTGTGAACAGAGGTGTGGTGATTGTTGGGAACATTGGCTTTGGTAAAACTGCCATTATCTCCAGACTGGTTGCTCTCAGCTGCCATGGCACACGAATGAGACAGATTGCTTCTGATAGCCCACATGCCTCCCCAAAACGTAAGTACTGTTATACAGAAAGAGCTCTGAAATGCATGAATCTCATACGTTTATGTGTTTAGCACTTTTCACCCACAAGGATCCCATTACCACTTCTTCCCCTCCCCCAATAGACCAGTTCAGAGATTGTTGCCAAACCTGCCATCTTGGGGCCACCTGTCATGGTTTACTGTTCATGTGCCAGACCTGGACAATGTGGAGCATGACCTGGTTCCTGCCAGCTGAGGCTCCCTGAGGAATCAGGCTGCCTTTTCTGCTGTTGGCCCCTGGCTTGGGCACATCATGGGTTCTCCCACTGGCATGCTTAATGGGAAACCTCCATCTGTTATTTCCTAACTTGTTACTGCAACACACATTTATGCTGGATACATCACCTATTCCTTCCTGTACAATTGGTCTATCCCCCTCCATTCTGGTAGAGCAGCTTGGGGTGGGTCACACACCGCATCTTGAGCCTGGCAACTGCTTTTCCTCCTTCACAACAGCATAAATCACTTAGCCCTCCACTGAAATGCAGCCACCTTGCAGGTAGAAAGCAACAATAGCTTAATACCACACACAGGACAATTATAAGGGTAAAACAGGAATGAAGGAATACTCTATCCTACTGAAATTATAGTTAAATCCCTTGTTGGACAAATGCTGTTTGCTAGAATGAAATATTCTCATCCACATATAAGCATCTGAAATGAGACAAATTGTTGGTTTTCTGAAATATTGAATGTCACCTTCTAGAGCAAAATGGACAATGTGTAATGAAAGGCAGGGTTTGTTTATGTATTTTAACTAAAGCCTGCAATGCACCTGCTGGATGATTCTCTCAGTCTATTTAGAGAGATTGTGAGGGAGATTACAGAGGCTATAGTTTAAATGTTTTCAAACTAAAAACCACACACACAGTTGAGACCTGGAGGCTTTGAATAGGAAAATGTTCTACAGTCCTCACATGCAAAGCACAGAAAAGAGATCCTTGTACAAACCAAACACATACAGGCTTTCAGTTCTTACTCCAGCACTTCCTTGAAGTAGCAGTAAATTGGATAGAGCCCCAGCTCTAAATTCTGGGAAATAAGTGAATCACAAATTGTGGCTGGGGTTATTTGTTTAATAAGGAGCTCTGAGCTCCTCAGAATAAGAAATAACACATTTATTCTGGAAAAAGCCATATATAGAATCATAGAAGATTAGGGCTGGAAGAGACCTCAGAAGGTCATCTAGTCCAGCCCCTTGCTCAAAGGAGGACGAACCCCAACTAAATCATCCCAGCCAGGGCTTTGTCAAGCCAGGCCTTAAAAACCTCTAAGGATGGAGATTCCACTGCCTCCCTAGGTAACCCATTCCAGTGCTTCACCACCCTCCTAGTGAAATAGTGTTTCCTAATATCCAACCTAGACTTCCTGCACTGCAACTTGAGATTGTTGTTCCTTGTTCTGTCATCTGCCACCACTGAGAACAGCCTAGCTCCATCTTCTTTGGAACCCCCCTTCAGGTAGTTGAAGGCTGCTATCAAATCCCCCCTTTTCTTTTCTGCAGACTAAATAAACCCAGTTCCCTTAGCCTCTCCTCATAAGTCATGTGCCTCAGTCCCCTAATAATTTTTGTTGCCCTCCACTGAACTCTCTCTAATTTGTCCACATCCTTTCTGTAGTGGGGGGCCACAAAACTGGACGCAGTACTCCAGATGTGGCCTCGCTGGTGCCAAATGGAGGGGAATAATCACTTCCCTCAATCTGCTGGCAATGCTCCTACTAATGCAGTCCAGTATGCCGTTAGCCTTCTTGGCAACAAGGGCACACTGCTGACTCATATCCAGCTTCTCGTCAACTGTAATCCCCAGGTCCTTTTCTGCAGAACTGCCGCTTACCCAGTCGGTCCCCAGCCTGTAGCGGTGCATGGGATTCTTCCATCCTAAGTGCAGGACTCTGCACTTGTCCTTGTTGAACCTCATCAGATTTCTTTTGGCCCAATCCTCCTTTGTCTAGGGCCATCTGTATCCTATCCCTACCCTCCACCATATCTACCTCTCCTCCCAGTTTAGTGTCATCCGTGAACTTGCTGTGGGTGCAATCCATCCCATCATCCAGATCATTGATGAAGATGTTGAACAAAACTGGCCCCAGGACTGACCTGTGGGACACTCCGCTTGATACCGGCTGCCAACTAGACATCGAGCCGTTGATCATTACCCTTTGAGCCTGACAATCTAGCCAGTCCTTAACCTGTTCTTTCATCGCTGAGGGCTGCTTACCTCCTCCCCATACTGTGCTGCCCAGTGAAGCAGTCTGGGAGCTGACCTTGTCTGGGAAGACTGAGGCAAAAAAAGCATTGAGTACTTCAGCTTTTTCCACATCATCTGTCACTAGGTTGCGTCCCCCATTCAGTAAGGGTCCCACACTTTCCCTGACCTTCTTCTTGTTGCTAACATACCTGTAGAAACCCTTCTCATTACTCTTCACATCCCTTGCTAGCTGCAGCTCCAATTGTGCTTTGGCCTTACATCCCTGCGTGCTCTAGCAATATTTTTATACTGCTCCCTATTCATCTGTCCAAGTTTCCACTTCTTGTAAGCTTAGTTTTTGTGTTTAAGCTCACTGAAGATTTCGCTGTTAAGTCAAGCTGGTCGCCTGCCATATTTGCTATTCTTTCTGCACATCGGGATGGTTTGTTCCTGAGCTCTCAATAAGGCTTCTTTAAAATACAGCCAGCTCTCCTGGACTCCTTTCCCCCACATATTAGCCTCCCGGGGATGCTGTCCATCAGTTCCCTGAGGGAGTCAAAGTCTGCTTTTCTGAAATCCAGCATCCATATTCTGGTGCTCTCCTTTCCTCCTTTTGTCAGGATGCTGAACTCGACCATCTCATGGTCACTGCCGCCCAAGTTGCCACCCACTTCTGTTTCCCCTACCAATTCTTCCCTGTTTGGGAGCACGGCCCCTAGTTGGTTCCTCCAGCACTTGCACAGGAAGTTGTCCCCAACGCTCTCTAGAAACTTCCTGGATTGTCTGTGCACTGCTGTTTTGCTCTCCCAGCAGATGTATCTATCTTCATTTATACACATTCAAAAACAAACTCTGTTAATATGTTTAATAACTTAAGTATTGATCAGGTGACCCAAAAGTCCTATAAGAAGTATATTATTGGTGTTAGTGAGCTAGAAATAAGCAAAATCCCACTACAGTTTCTTCATAACTCAGACAGGCAGATAGAGCTGCTGATATGTTCACATGTGCAAAACATGAATTTGTTAATTAAACATATGAATTAAGTATTTAGACAGTGGACGCCACCCTTATTGTTTCTACCAGCAGATAAATGGATCATAGTTTAAATTATTATTTCAAGTCAAGTCAAGGGTACATTATAGCATTCAGGAAAATTCTGTGCTAGTAGGGTCTGTGTTTGAAGAGACTGTTGCTATTAGCAAAAAGAAAAGGAGGACTTGTGGCACCTTAGAGACTAACAAATTTATTTGAGCATAAGCTTTCGTGAGCTACAACTCACTTCATCTGTAGCTCACGAAAGCTTATGCTCAAATAAATTTGTTAGTCTCTAAGATGCCACAAGTACTCCTTTTCTTTTTGCGAATACAGACTAACACGGCTGCTACTCTGAAACCTGTTGCTGTTAGAATACTCTTAAAGTACAATTTTTTTAATCAAAAAAATTTGAAATCAATAACTTCTGGTTGCAAAATAATGTAGTTTGAAAGAGTTAACAGTAAAAACATGCCATATATCTTGACATTTACAGAGGGCTTCTAGTTTGTGCCACATCACTCTACCCAGACAAGCAAATCGGATTAAATGAGATTTAGAATCAGTCATGCTTTAGAGATGATTCCAATATCAAAGAATATCATAGTTGGAAGGGACCTCAGGAGGTCATCTAGTCCAACCCCCTGCTCAAAGCAGGACCAAGCCCCAGTTTTTGCCCCAGATCCCTAAATGGCCCCCTCAAAGATTGAACTCTCAACCCTGGGTTTAGCAGGCCAATGCTCAAACCACTGAGTTATCCCTCCCCCCACAAATCATTACTTTCATGCAGATCCATCCCAACATCCTAATGCTCCTCTGGGTATCATCTCGTACTTCTCTCTTTCTGGTTACTTTACTTGGTTGTGAATTGGGATGTTAGTTACCGGGTTAAACGGTCCCCATTTATACATGTGCTCAAGAAAGGCTCAGGACTAAATTAGAAGAAGCATTTAGATGGGAGGCCTATGGGCAGAAGTAGTAGAGCATTGCCCAACAATATATTTGACTCTATGGAGAGGGGCCACATTATCATGAGTATTAAATTCACTAAATACTGTATGTATTTAATGACTAAGATTAACATGAAGAAAATGAGTAAGATGAGGTTAATCCTTTATCTCTGCTGTCCTTCCTCTGTTAGTTCTGGCAGAAATTTGTTCAGGAGAGTTTCCCCTGAGTGCACCCCTATACTGCTCAGAGTCTTAGACTGCTTACAGAAAATATATTAACCGCTTTAATGGATTGTTAGAAAATACCTTATCGTGTGCTTTGTAATTGTCTCAGTCATGGTTGGCCTGTAGAAATCTGTTACCCTCTTTGTTTGGTACAGATGTGGATGCAAATAGAGAGCTACCCCTTACACAGCCACCTTCTGCTCACTCGTCAATCACGAGTGGAAGCTGCCCTGGAACGCCTGAAATGCGCAGACGCCAAGAAGAGGCCATGCGGAGACTTGCTGCACAGGTATTGAAAGAGTTTCTTGATGACCTTTTCTGGGAATGTGTACTGTTTAATCACTGAAGTTGTCTTAGTATACATCACACAAAAATGTGGATATTGACAGAGGACAGTGAGTATGCAAATGCTTACAAGAGAGAGTATGGGGAAGACCTTCCAGAGCAGTTTTATTACCTGAGAAAAGCTATTTCTCTTTACAATGAAATTCTCAAAACATCAAGAGTTCATCTCGTACTCTGAGGGTTAATCTTTCACAGCCACCAGACGGCATATTAAAGGCTGTAGAACAGGGTTACCATAGTAATTATTCCTCTTTCTTGAAGAATGGAGTGAATTCCAGATGAAATTGCTGAGTAAGTGTCCAGAGCTTGCTTTTGTAAGAGATAATTGCTTGGGTTGCATGACTTCTTGGATGAAGCTGTAGAATGTGAATTGTTGTGCTTTGTGGGATACTTGCACCTTTTTGGGTAACGTCCACATACATAGATCAGAACGCTTTAAAAAGTGATTTGCAAATCAGTTGCTATATTGACTGGAAAGGATTATATATCATGTTACCATAGGCTGACATTTACATCCTGGGTTATATGGTACCTTTAAGATACAGCCCTGCTTTGCTGATGGTGTGAAAGTGGCAAAATATTGCTAAGAACTCTGGGGAGCTTTGCTGGGGAACTTTTTTAAAGGGTGCATGTAGTTTGTGCTTTCCAATTCCCTGCTCCTGCACTGGGGAGGAAAATGTCCAGCAAACTCTTAGTGCTAAATGATTGCCAGCACTTACTTTGCTTGGCTTTTGTACCAGGTATATTGTTGCCCGATATTTGTTTTACATAGCACCCAGATGGCAAGGCAAAGAGTGTGTGATGAATGTCTATATAAATAAATATTAGAACTTTCACAAGTGTTCTCCTCTTCCACATATGGCTCTTGGAAAGGAATGCAACTGCCAGCTCTGCATTGTTCAGCATACATTAGTCATTATGTTCCTTGTATGTTGTACACGTCGCACACTGTCAGAACGGCCAGTAAGAGAGTGTTATCTCTCCCTAAAATATCTCATTTATCGAAAGACTTTTTTCACTGAGTTCTCAAATAATCCTGCTGGGTAGGTATCTGACAAATGGATATATTTTTAGCTCCAATCTGCTCCTTTCCTTAAAAAGAAGATAACTTTACAAAGCCAAAGTGTGCGACTTGGGGCTAGTCTACACTGGCAATGTTAAACCACCTCCACGAGGGGCGTAGCTACCAGCGCTGGTGCACTGTCTACACTGAAACTTGCAGTGCTCGGGGCGGGGAGGGGTTTCACACCCCTGAGCGAGAAAGTTGCAGCGCTGTAAAGTGCCAGAGTAGACAACCCCTTTGTTTCAACTAGTGTGGCACATTCCACTTCACATCCAAAGACTGTGGCTTTACTTTTGGCATTTTAGATCAATGAGGGAGAAAAGAGAAACAAGTCACGGTTTTTAGGCCAAAAAATCTGACCTGCTGTACCTTGGCTATGGCCCCATTTGGAAGGACTTTTAACACCGAATCCATCCTCCGCTGAAAATTTAACCCCCACAAAAAAAAAGAAAAATGGAAAAGCTGATGTGCTATGTACCATCAGACTAACTAAAAGGCAAGGGACCTACGTGACCTCCTATTGTATCAGCTTTGCATCTGTTAGTTTGTTCAGTTGTTAATCTGACAGTAAATCTTATCTTGCCTATTGTAAACATGGACTGATTCCAAAACTAACTAACTAACTGGGTTCCAGAGCATACTGTGTCCTCTCAGAGGTGACCAGTGCTTAAGTTGATTAGTTGACCTTTACGTCTTTGGCAGCATCCATTAAAAAAAAAAAAACAGCTGATACTTCATGGAAAACTTTGAAAAAGTCTTTTATGAAACAATTCTGGTGACATATCAAAGATTTAATTTCTTTCTTCCATTAGGCCCTAATTCAGAAAAATCCTCTTTTTAGTACATTACAATAACTTCCACAGCCGGTCGTGGAGAATGTCACAGACATCAGAGGGCAGGCCTTATCAAAAACAAGATCTCATGTTAGATAGCAGTTATTAAGAGCTGCTTATTTGGAGTAGCAGGGCAACCAGCATCAAGATATCCTGTGTGCATGTCACTATCCTGAGTAATTTTTAAAGAAATACAGAAAAGAGCTGAGACATTAAATAGCCCTAAGTACTGATATTCCAGCTCTTTGCCGGTGGCAGGTGTGAAGGACGTTGTCAGTATACAGTGTACAAAACAATAAAGAAAAATAACCTGCCCATTATGGAAGTCCATGAATAAAAGAGTAAAGAGCCTTGTTGACATAGGCTACAGAAATCAGGGGTGAAAACATGCCATCAGCATCAACTCTTCCAAATCTCTCCTTCAAATTGACTTCTCCCCTGGAGCTCATAGGTTTTGAGTTTATAATAATAGAGGCAAAAGGCCTGTGATTCCCTCCTCTGGATTTTCCAGTGTGTACTGTCTTCTCTATGGCTGTTTTCAGACTGTGAGCTCTTGGCGGCAGGAGCAGCCTTTATCTTTGGCTTTGTACCAATTTTGATCACATTGGTAGCGTTAAATTACTAATAAAAAGTATCAGAGAGAGCTCCATGTGAGCCTATCATTTATTTTAAGTTTCTTTGCCATACTATTAGGGAGAAGCTTTTCACTGTTCTCTGAGGGAGCAGTTTGAAGTCTTTCATGATTTATAGTCCCTTAGCCATCAGGGAGAAGAAATATCCTTAGAAATAAGCCAATTTAGACAACTAGCAAGCAGATCTATTTCCCATGGAAAACTACCGAAGAAAATGAGTTATTGCGTTCTGAAAGCACTTCCTTCCCCTCAGCACTGCACAGAAGTTACCTGAAATTAAACCCCCCCCCCATAACAAAGCTGTTATCAAAAGCAAAAATTATCAGAAACAATGGGCATTGTCCTGTTCCCATTGAGCTCTGGCAAGACTCCCACTGGGGTCTCTGATTCATCAATCCCGTACTTTGATCATAAAATTGAAACTTTGGCACAGGAATAACTACCATGGAAGGAAAGGTTGCTTCTTTTTGGGGATTTCAGTGATTCCCTGAAGTAATTAAGGAAAACCGAGATCTTAAACCAAATGTAAAGTGTGTTAGAAATATCAAACTATCAAGGTATTTGTTTGGCTCTAAAAACCCTGAATTGCTGTGATCTTTTTTGGAATTTTTCTCTGAAACAGGCTCACTGAATCCATCTAAGCCTTTGCAAGAGGAAACACTGAGATTACCACTCTGTAAGATTCACGAACAGAAATATTGAAAATGTAATGCCACTGTGTATCAGTGTTACACCCTCACTAGGAGTATTGCATTATGTTACCCTCCAAACAGCATCAGTTATAGACGTTTGTGTTTGGAAGGTGATATTGTAGTAAAGAGAGTGCTGGAAGGCTGACATCCCTTGCACAATGGTTAAGATTGGGGTGTTTGGTCTGTGGTGTTAGTAATTTTGGAAGTGGTAAGGCATCTCCCTGCCACTGAACAAGTAGAGGGTTAAATGGCTTAACTATTCATTACCTTGCTTTTTGTGGTTTACTGAAGCTTGTTATGTGTATAGCAACCTTAATTTTCCCAACAAAGATTTTTGTGAATTAATTTCCTAGTTTTCTTTAAATGTAGCATTAAATGGCTCACCTACATGGAAATCAGAACAATCCCTACTTCTCTTCCGCCTCCCCTCCCCCGGCTTCCCTAGCCTGGGAATAACAGCCAATGGCATTAGCAGTCTCAGGCCAGTGAACTTCCCATGATTCTTTGCAGAGGGGCTTTCCTGAGATGAACCATGAGAAGTTTGTCAGACCCCAAGGCCTGGCTCAGTAATGAAGCTCAGAGCACTGCTTGTCAGGGGAGATTGCCTGCCTCATTCCTCCACCCCCCCCTCCCCGATACCCCGCAGTTTTTAAGTGTTGAGATATGGGGAGAAGAGACAGGTGAAGATTGCAGAGAAAGAGAGCAAGGGAAGCTGTATTGACAAATACAGGCATTCAAAAACCCTGGAACAGACTGCTCAGAATCATGAGACTGGCTTGGAAAAATCTTAACCTTTCAAAAAGACACGTGTCTTCATCCGCCTTCTGATTTTTGAGCTTTTGGGTGGATGCCACCCACTCCCAATTTGTACACGATTGTTTCAGGCTCAGAACTCAACCTTGTATGCACGAACAAAAATGGGAGCTGCCCCAGTGGCTGCCAGGTGAAAGATTCCACTCACTTGCCCCAAGCCCCTGGAGGACAAAGGAACTCTATCCCTCTCCACCCCCTGCCCCTCTCACTGTCTTTCTCCTTTCTGGGCCTTGCTTCCCCACCCTGTCTTCTGGGTCAGTCCTGTTCCCCTTTGTGCTCCTCCATAGCGTCTTGTCTTCCACGTGTCCTCCACCTCCCCAATCCCTTTCTCTTCACGTTCTTCCTTCCATCTGTCCACTTCCTCCTCAGTCTCCACCCTGAACACACACCCCAGTGCTGCCTTCTGACGGCGGGGAGGGCTCCCCCTTCCCTGGTAAATTATGTGGGTTTGGGTTTTTATAATACATATTTAATATGAAAATAGGTTTGTAACAAAGCGAATTTCCGAGTTATTTAAGGTTCTGCCTAGTAAGGATGAGCGTCTGCTGGCAGGTCCACAGTGTTGAGGCTACATGTAGTGGGCCAGATCTTCGGTTGGTGGAAGTTGACAGCAGTGGAGCTACAGCAGGTTACGCCAGCTGAGGAGCTAGCCCACTATATGTGAAAATCGAAGGGCACGTACCTGCTGAATCTGTCTGCTGGATGTTGCTGTATAATACCCCCCCCCCCCACTATCTAAGGTCTTGTCTACATGGTGTAGCAATGCTCATTGCAGCGATGGGACTTCTAAACTGCACTGACGTGCTGCACACTAATTGTTCCCTAGTGTGCTTTGACTAGTGTGTTTCAAACGTTTAATGTGCACTAGGGAACTTTTAGTGCACACCTACAGGGTCTACATGGACCAATTA